GCAAAAGCAGCATTTATAGTATGAAAAGGTTTTGTCAGCGACCTATATGGGGCAGAAATGTGAGCCTTTGTCTAATTTGGGCGCCTGTAAGCTTTTGAATTAACTTGTTTAGAAGCTGTCAATCACCCAGACAGGCAGGATCTGTGGGTTTGAAGAAGAGAATCACACTAAGAGAAAGATATATTCTTAACATAAAGCCATTTGGTGAGTGCTTTGATCCCAGCTGCCTCACAGTGCACTGACTGCACACATTTCTGTATGGCTGCCACGCTGAAAACCTTTGAGTTACACAGGAAAAATTCAAGCCCCCTAACCTGGCAGTGTCTGTGCGTTGCTCAGTCTGTTGTAGTATTCATCCACGCAGGGGAGGCAGAGCCGAGCCAGAGAAGCACAGCATCAGCTTAGGTGGTAGATTTCTTCACGTAAGCCGCGCGGACGAATCGTGTCAGAACATTCTGTTGAACTCAGTGGTTTAAGTAGATGTAATACTGCTCTCATATCTGTCTGTGCAATATGAAGCTGGAGCCAGGAGATGGTTAGCTTAGCTTAGCATAAAGATTACAACATCTATCTCATCTAACTCTTGTCAAGAAAGCAAATAAAGTTACTTGAGGTGGATTAGAGACTGGTGACATGTTGTGCTTGTGTCCAAAAACATCAAAGCATAAAGATGGAATATCTGCCGAGTGGTGTGGTTTCACTGGGCTGTTGCAAAAGGGAAGCAAGAACTGTGCTAACAGAACAAAGTATGTGTGTTGTATTAGCATGCGCAAATTCAGTACTAGCATGTGCTGTATGCTCTGTAACTACATAATGCTGAACACCCAGCAGTGAAACTCCATAGCTTAATTCAAACTCAGCTCTCTTTATTCAAAATGCAAATTCAGACTGCAACTTATACAATAATGGACCAGTTTGCATTCTCCTCACAGATTGTTCTGCGGAATTGTTTCAATGAAAAAAAAAAAAAAGTTTCAGTATTTTAAAAATGGAAGAGCTGGTGCTTCACAGGTGGCCTGCTGCACCTCCAAGGACTCACGAATGAACAGTGAGAGAGGACAGGCAGGCAGGCAGGCAAGGTGACCTAATGTAAAAACATGACAACCCTCCACCCTGCTGACGTGTCCTTGAGCAAGACACCGAGTCCCCGGTAGCTCCAGCAGTGGGGTTCTGGAGCTGAGCGTGACCTCTGACCTCCCTGTGGAGGGCAGCAGACAAAAAGAGCTTTTCCCTATGGGGATTAATAAAGTATCACATTATCATTTGAATGCAGCTGATTGTATCTTTGTCAGTCTACATTTCAGCCTGCAGACCTTTTCTGTAGAACTGTGTGATATGACCATGTCACGGGAACCCTCCAGTATCTGTTGGGAAAGGTCTGCAGACCCGAATGTCAAATGATAAAGAAACAATCGGCTATGTTGTACGCCTCCTACCTCCCTTTTCATTTATCAGTATTCAAGCTCTAATTTATTACAGTGGCACACCTCTCTCCTTTTGAATTTGCTTCTTTTGTTGCCTCGCTGCAGCATTCAGGATTTAAAAAAAACAAATAACCACATGTTTGTTGGTTGTCATTATAAGGCACAAAATGAGTAACAACAGTACTGTATAGGCAAATACATAAGCAACAGTAGCTCAGCTGTTAAGTCTACATATGATATTTTTTTGCTGTGGCTCATAAAGAGGTTTTTTAGATGTTTCTGGGAAAAAGCAACACAAAATGCCACAGACAAATCTTTCACATCTCAGTGTGCACTCATTGCAGTGTTATTGCACAAGACCAAAGGCCAGCTAAAGCAAACTTAAGAAACAGCAAACACTGACATTCTCTCTCTCTTTCTCTCTCTGTCCGTCTTTTTTTCTGTCTCTCTCTGTCCCTGTGGTCAACAATCCCTCTGCTGGCCTTTATCCCCAAATCCCCATGGACAGAGAGTCAGGAGAGAGAGAATGCTTAAATGCTTTGAATGATGGTGTGGAATGCTAAAAAGAAGTGCGTGTGTGTGTGTGTGTGTGTAGATGTGCTGTGGTGCTGTGTTCGTGCGCGTTGTTCGTGTGTGTTGCGGCTCATTGAATGGTCAGGGGGAAGGAAAGCGGGGGGGGGGGGGGGGGGTCTCCTGCCTGGTCTAGGATCTGGTATGCGTGACTGAACAAGAGGAGGAGAAAGAGAGGAAAAGAAGAAAAAAAATCCCCCCACCAAAACCTGCCTTCCTAACTTCTAAAGACAGACAATGGCTACTGACTGGCCTGGCAACCCTCTCTCTCTCTCTCTCTCTGTGTGTGTGTGTGTGTGGTGTGTGTCACTTCACACACAGGACACGTCCTGATGGAAAGCAGAAAGAGGGAAATCTGCTCTAACCAACTTTAGATCTCATTACTCCGCACATGCAGCCACACAGACGCAGCTCTGCCACATGTGAAATGAAACACTACAAAAATAACCAAAACTAATACCCAAAACCTTCCATTTAAACCATGAAATCCTCCACGCACAGCTCCAGCTCCCCTGTGCTTTGAAACCTTGAGACTTCAGTGTGAAACTCAACTGCCCTCCCAGCTGATCTGAACACCTTTTCGTTGCATTTGAGGATAAAAAAAAAAAGAAAACAGACGTTGATGATTAAAAAAATCAGCAGGGTGGAACAGCTTCCTATAATAAACGCCTTGGTGATAATTAATTACTCAGGCACTGCAGCCAAATCAAGATGGCAAGCATCCATTTTAAATTTCCTTGTAAATAACAAAACAACACAACAGATTTTTCTTTTTTTTTTCAGCCCTTTCGAAAAGCAAGACTGGACTGATCAGGGAGAAAACACAGAAATGTGTGGGTGGTTATTAAGGGGAATGCATTAATATGAAAGCCCTTATTGTATTAAATTTGCCTAAATATGGACATCATCATTGTAGGACAAGACCCCAGCTGTACTGACTGACTTGTGGGAATCAATAATGTCAAATTACCTTTTGGAAACTGATGCTTTTCACATTCTTGTTTACAAAAACAGACATGCAACAGTGAAGTGCTACACCTACACAAAAGTAGTCCACACGTATTTTTTCGTTCATTATATAAATATCTTTAATTGTTTTAACCGTAAGAATATAAAACAATTTAATTTTGGGATTCTGCATTTTTTTCTTCTTCTTTACAAACACATAATATACAGTACATCTTTTTATTTTCAAACACACACAGCTTTTTCAGCAGGACGCACATCCGTATATTAATTTTCTAGCAGGTCATTGCATTACATTAAAACGCGCACACACAGGCCCCCGTGTGTGCGCGCACATGTGCATGTGTGTGTATATATGTGTGTGTGTGTGTGTGAAAGAAGGGGAGAGAGAGAGAGAGAGAGAGAGACGCATTCCGCTTGTAACCCGAGACGGAGGAGAGAGAAAAGAAAAATAATCGATTGCTCCTTCTTCTAAGCATGTCTCAAAATGGATTCAGGGTATTTTTTATTCAGGGAGAAACGAGGGAGAGATGGAGAAAAAGAGGAGGAAAAAGATGTCTATCCCTACCCTCCTCTCTCCCCCTCTCTCTCTCTCTACAGCAACATGAATATGAATGCGACCTGTGCTGGCAATAACGTGGGAAAATAAAAACCATAGAGCAAAACCCTGATTCGTTTCGATCAATAAAGGGTATAAGATATAGAAATCACTTCAATTTGAAGTACGACGCTCTGAACAACATCCACTGACATTTATTTCCACCAGCATCCCTTACAAAAAATGCCAAATATTCCTATAATATACTTACACTGACATATATTGCGTTTAATAATGGCCTGCTCATACCAATACGTGTTACCTCATATTGTATCACTATAATATTCCTCTACCTCTACAGCCTAGTATTATTATAGGATGACTATAGGTATTTCTCCTAAGGGTAAGCTGATAATCTTGTCTCCTTTATATTGGTCAAAGCTTGAACACAGCACGTCTCTATAAAGGGCGTTAAAGTTGGACTTTACCCATAAGAAAATGAAGGAAACAAACAATAAAAAAGCTCTACTACACACAGGGTTTATGTTTTTTGCATAAAGCGCCGTCCTGTTGTTATCTGACTAGATTTTACAGCTCCCTTTCCCTTTCTCTCTGTCTCTCTCCGGGAAATTGTTGCTGTTTATGGGGGTAAATTAACAAAGGTAGTTAGATTGTGTCCTGGTCTCCTTTCTCCAGCTCTGCTCATGGAGGGAGGGAGGGAGGGGATGGGGGGATGGGGGAGGGGGCAGACACAGTCCCTTTAGGCACATTTTCTCCCAGTCTCTCATTCTCGCTTTCCTTCTTCCTCTTCTTTTTTTTTTTTTTTTTTAACAGTATACACCCTTTGAAAACAACCACATACGAGGTAGCCAAATGTTTTTAGGCGTGATGGCTGTAGCGGAGATTAGTCGTTAAATGTCTCAAATCCAGACTCACTGTAAAAATAAAAGTCTCATACTCAAGTTTTAAAACCTCACTTTGCTTTAAATGAAAAAGGAATGTGCCAGTTTGAATGGATGCAAGTTTCACTTCAAGAATTTTCTGGAAGCAAGTGTCAGTAAATGGAGCAGATTATTCTAATAGTATGAAGATAATGACACTTTTGAAATGTGTGAAACAAGCTGATATGCATTGAAGTTATTCCAGTCCAATGTCAGAATTTATGAGATATTAAAACTCAATATGAGATCAAAACAATTGCTAATAGGGATTTTCATGAGTTCACAACAAAAGCAAGTTTTAATTGCTTCCTACCAGGCAGAATATTAAGTTATATCAAACACTAATTTAGATCCTGCAAGGCCAACAGAAAGAAAAATAAAACATTTGGACACAAGATTCTGGTCACATGGGAGAAGCACTCCTTACACAGGAGGGAAAGGAAGGTTTCTTTTTAAATAAGAAAAGATGTTTCCCCACCCATCCGCCCCCCTCCCTCCTGCTCCTTGTGTCCCCCTCTGTCCCCATCCATAAAGTAAAAGGCAAACACACACACACAGTCACACACACAAAAAAAAAACAAAAAAAAAAAAACATTTCCAATCACCTCACTTTCTCACTCTCTGTCATCTGCCAGAGTCCCAGGTTCAACACTTTAAGGCAGGGGAGCTGTGTGATCCTCTCCAGTCCCCTCTTGGTGATCTTGGTACATCCATACAGGTCGATGCCCGCCAGCTGGGTCAGGTGGTCAGCTATGAGCTCCAGCCCTTTGTCCGTGATGCGCACACACTGTCCAATGTTCAGGGTCCTCAGCTCATGCATCTGCCTCACCATCCGGTTTATCCCATCATCAGAGATGTGACATGAGCACAGGGACAAGGACTTTAGCTGGTACAGCCCCTGGGCAATGTATGCCAGGGTCTGGTCCCCTATCTTGTCGCAGAAGGAAACGTCAAGCCCAGAGAGCCTTAGGGTGCCCATGGCGAGGTGCATGGTCCCTGTGTCACTGATGTTATCACAGGAGCGTAGGTTGAGGCTCCACAGGGAAGCCATGTGGGAGAGATGGATCATCCCTGCGTCTGAGATCCCCCCACAGAAGCTCAGGTTCAGTACCCGGAGTTTGGTCAGGCCCTTGGAAATGTGTTTGAGTGACAGGTCCGTCAGTTTCTGACAGTCCTGGAGAGTCAAATACTCCAGGTTCAAGCAACCTTCTGCTGCGCTGCGGGTCATGCCCGCCAAATGTCCAATCCCCACGTCCGAGACATGCCTGCAGGACCTCAGATTGAGGCTCTTGAGTCTGTGGAGGCCCCAGGCTATCAAGAGAAGCCCAGTGTTTGTGATGTTGCTGCAGCCACCAAGCTCCAGTACTTCCAGGTTCTTCAGATACTGGGCTATCCTGCCTAGACTGGAGTCTGTGATCTGCTTACACAGACTCAGGTTCAAAACCCTCAGTGATGGGATCTCCTGCACAAATGCATGGCCCAGCCCATTATCTGTGAGGTTGTAACAGCCGGACAGGTTGAGGGACTCAATGTTAGGCATTCCCTGGATCACATAACTCAGGCTGCGGCGCAGAGAGAGGATCTGGACCCTCCGGATGCCCCTGGCCTGGAGGCTGGGGAACAGGGAGGGATTGGCCCGGCGGAGGTGCAGCTTGGCCTCCACCCCCCTCCACACTGACTTGTGGTAGGATGCGTCCCTCCAAGCGATACACACTTGGGCTACCCTGCCTTTGTCCCTCACGTCCAGATAGCTGAAAATCATGGCCAAAATTTCCGGGAAGAGGCACGAAATGTGCGTCTCCATTGTTTTTCAAAACCCAGGCATATAAGAATTAATACTCCACACCTCCAAGGCTGAAAGAAGGATCCCACTCAAAACACCCCCCTTCTCTTGCACTAATGCAAAAAGTATCAACAGTCCCAGTTATCCACAGAAGTAAAAAAGAAAGAGTTGTTTGTTTCTCTCTCTTTTTTCTCACATTGAACTGTGCAAAATCGATCCAACTCTCTCCAATCCCACGTGATCCGGTCTGGTTGCGCAGTAGGATTCAAATGCATTTAAAAAAAAAAAAGAAAGAAAAAAACAAAAAAAAGCGTTTATTCCTGCCTCAACCCCTCTCTCCGCCAAAAAGAGGAGGAGAGGGGGCGAAAGGAAGAAGGAGGAGGAGAGGAGGAAAAAGCGTCAATCCTTCCCCCTCTCTCTCCCTCTCTCAGACGACGCTTCCTTGTATTATACCTACAAAAAGCCTTCCTCTCTCGGGCGAGCGGGGATCCAGACGGTCGTACATTTCAGTATAAGAAAGTAAAAATAAAACCAACACTCTTAACGCCACCTATTAAAAAACATTTCCATGATAGAAAAGCAGAGAAGATAGAGCTAGGTTGGCTTTGTAGGCAGAGTGAGAGAGAGAGAGGGGCGTCCTGAGCTCAAAGCCTTTGTCTGCTCTTTTCAAACCGACTTGGCAGGGACCCCAGCACTCTGGCTGTACGGGAGGGGTGAAAGCAAGTAATAGTATTAATCTCTCGTGTCAAAAACAGATTAAATAAGAAATAACGTTACAATGAACGTAATAATGACTTGACAGCACAATAAAATGTGTATGTGAATATTTAATAAGCGATGTTGTGTGGAATTAATTTGTAATCTCACTGAATCACCCCTACCCCCGCCGTGTCAGGCAGTTGGTCTGTCCCGCCTCAGCTGGAACGGTGCGAACAGTTTCCCTTGGAAACCAACTTCTTACAATTCAGTTCACTTTGGGCTTTAACCCTTTGAGCGGACCACACAGGAAACACAGGAAGGCCAAACGGAGAAGCCCCTTTCAGTCCGCTTACTTGGCATGAACATTTAGTCATTTTTATTGCGATTTTGTAGTTGTGGAAATAGTAATAAAAGAGCGTTTCCAAAACGGCCCCAGCACAGAATACAGCGTTCTTTGTCTCATGTAAACAGCCTCTCTCTATCTGGTCTCCTCGTTCACTAACTTTATTGCAAAACCAGAAAATAAATTTACATTCCCAGGGACCATCAATCAACCTTCCATCTCTCAAATATTGAAAAGTGTGGTTGAAGATCTGTAATAAAACAACAACACGGCTCATAATATTCTTGATAATGTGTGGAAACAATGTAGAGCAAATCTCTTTTAATTAATTTCAACATGCTTTATTGGCTTGGTATTTGGCACAGTGTTGCCAAAGCCTCAAGCCAGAGATCACAGTTTGTGTCAGTATGCTTGCAAAATGAGCGTAGGCTACACACACAGACACACACACACTCTTCGGATAAACAACCAACTACAGTATTTGCCAGTTTAATCTGAGCTCTTGTGTGTCCTTCTATCTGTTAGGAAATTGTTTCGATGAAATACATTATGTACAATGAAGAGTTTTTGTTTGTTTGTTTTTTTTTTTACAAAGGGCTGAAGTGTCCTTAATTGACTGTAGTGGTAGAATAATCTGTAAAAGTGTGAAAAAGAAAAAAAAACTTCAATTCTCTCATGTGACTCTCATAAAGAACCAAAATAATCACTTTGAAGCTGTTGTCTCACATCTGGCATTGCTTATGTTTTGACCCTTGAATTGAAGACTTTTTATTTTAGTCTCAGCTGATGGTACTGACAGTATATCAGTGTATATGTGTATAAAGGTAATAGCTGGCTGCACATAGGAGATGTTGCTTATTTAATGTATCAAAGTATAGAAAGAGAACTGTGTATCTTTTCTTTTTTTTCTCTCAACCAACCAGAAACTTTCATCCCCTGCAGTGGGCCTCTGTCACCCCCTTAGTAGCCTTGGTGTGTGTGTGTGTGTGTGTGTGTGTGTGTGTGTGTGTGTGTGTGTGTGTGTGTGTGTGTGTGTGTGTTTATTTGTGTATTTGTGTATTTGTGTATTTGTGTGCATGTGTGCATGTGTGTGTGGCTGGAGTGTTTCTCAGTCTTTATTTGTATGTGTGCATGTGTGTAGGCACAGACAGTAGAACATATGTGGCCTTTGCATGTAAACCCATATTTTTTATATGCTTGTATCTGTCCATGTCACTGTGTGTGTGTGTGTGTGTGTGTGTGTGTGTGTGTGTGTGTGTGTGTGTGTGTGTGTGTGTGTGTGTGTGTGTGTGTGATAATATGACAGGGGAGCCGTTTGCTGAAGCCAGTGGAGTGTGGCAGAGTGGTTGAGAAAGAGCAAAGGAGAGAGAGAGGGAGAGAGAGAGAGAGAGAGGAAGAGCTGATGAGAAACATAGAGAAAGAGAGGGAGAGAGCGAGAGACAGAGAGAGTGATAGGAGGAGAGAGGCAACAGTGATCAGGTAAGGATAACAGGGAGGGAGAGGAGCTGCAGAAACAGGCGTTTTTACATGAAAGAGTCAGCCGTGCACAACTGACAGCAACTCTCCTCGCTTCCACTTCTCCCTCTCATCCTCTCTGTTCTCCTTCTCCTTAAAGGATAAGGATGGTTGCTGTAATTGTTACTATCCCCTCCTAACATGACTACAGTGTAAGAATCCACAGTCTTAGTTCCATGCAAAATTGAATCCTGAAGTTCAGCCAAAGCTAATATGACACTTATGGCAGTCAAAGTTAGTCACATCAAATGGATATTTTCCAAAGTTGCAGTCTTCTTAGTAGAAAATTCACTCTTTTTGTAACTATCTATTTCTCAAAGTAAAGACTGTTTCCTCCCCATCATCTCTCTTCCACACCCTTAAACCCATATTTGTCTCTGTCTTTTTTAAAATATTGCCCAAGTCGAACACAGATTTTTAAAGAAAATAATATTAATAGTCCACATCAGAAGAAAACACATATTCCACAGTTACAGTATTAACTCACATATTCATACTTATGAAACACAAGTAGGTATTATGATGTAATCAGAAGTGGCCTCACATGTTTTCCTTTCAGTATATATGTATAAACATACATCATATATCTGAATCTGTGTAGTTCATTTCTTTGTAGTGTTGGTCTTTAGTCCTGCTCTAACCAGAACCTGCAAGCAGCACTACTCTGTTATAGATTGTCAAAATACCATACTTAAATAAATTTGATGTAAGGGAGTTATAAGGTACTTTTTTACAGGTTATTATTAATCAATTTAAGTTATATGAAATGGCATATTTATATAAAGTCTTGATATATCATGATTTTTGCCCACATGGGTCAGATTAAAGAAAGCAATGGCTGAACATTTTAAAACTTAACAAAGCATTCAAAATCGACCAAAACTGTCTGGTGACTATTTTTAATATCCTCTCTCTGCTTTCAACTTATATCCTGTAACTTCATCAAGGGCAAAAACAAAGCAGTTAACTGCACTGTCCCCTGTGGCTGCCAACACCTACGTCCTTGGTACCCGAGCAAAGAGTGTGTCATGCATTTTCAAAATAGAGATCCTGACATGAATACCAAGCTTTATAATGATAGTGTGAACACCCTGAGTTTTTAACAGGGTGGTAGATGAACATGTGGATAAACTGTGGCCACTGCTGTGGCCGGATTGTTGGAGAAACCTCCTGGGATTTACCAGGTGGTGCAGACAAAAACTAGTTTGGTCAAAAACCATG